TTGGTTAGATCGACAACATCATGCAACTCAATAGGCAAAGACCTCTTTTTATTATTAGCAGGTACATAATTCCGTGGAAGATGAACTGTACATTTTTATTATTTTATTTAACTAATTACACCAAGTAAAACATAAGTAATAAAATAATATGACATTAATGAGAGATATTAATCTTACTTGTGTTTGATTGATTCGGGGGCATATTATACAAAACTCCCGAACCATCATCATCATCATTATCACTTGTAAGGTCTATGAAAACGTTTTGGGTAATATTTTTTGACAAATTGTCATCAGGTTGCATGACACGACCTGAAAGAAAAAAAATATAAATTAGTACATTTAATACAAAACATGTTGAACAATTATATAATTTATTCACAATGAGGAATGTCTTACTGTTTTTAACATTATGTGTTATTTGATGCCTTTGTGTAGAAGAACAACCAATGTCTAACTCTACATACAAAAAAAAAATTAAAGAAATAAAAAATTAATACAACTATACAAAAATAATTAATTACATATAAATACGTTCACTGTAACATACCACGTGTGAATTCATATACCTCCTGCGAAATTCACGAATTTCAGGTACATCAACACAGATTATGAGAGTAACATCCTTTGATGTGGTGATTCGCACTTCCCCTAAACAAACATTTATTAGTCCGAGTTTTAAAAATATCATAAGAAAATTATAATATGAGGAAGTAGTTAAAATATTACCATCGAACACCTTAGCACGACACATTTGCATGATTAAAACAAAAGCTTGTTGTTCATTCATATAGTGATGCTCAATAGCAATCAATTGATCAACATATTGTCCCCAAAGGGTACAATTCTTCTTTTGCCCTCTAAAAAATCGAAAAAATCAAAACAATAATTGTGTAGTTAATAAATGTAATAAAACGAAGTCACAATTTATAAATTCAAACCACAATCTTAAAACGTATGAAAAAAATAATTGATACAAATCTTTTTCCATTTTTTATGTACTTACTCCAAGTTCATAAGGGAGAAAACAATCATTTGAGTAGGAACTCCCCTCACAGTTTTCATTTAAATTGGTTGTATTTCGACAACCACGCCAATAACATCTACAAAATACGATTTAAAGCAAAAATGTTTAGTAAACAATACAAATAAATAATTAATATTTCGTAAAATAAAAACAAATACGCGAAAAAAAACTTATGAAATTCGAACTAAAAAAATTATCGATTAGTAATTACTTACCAAACAACATTGATTCATCAACATTGTCAATGTCCATTAAAGTTGCGAAATCTCTAAAGATAAAACGAAAAATAGGGAAAGGATGATGCCACTTGATAAACTTGGTGTCCTTGTTGATCACAAGCCTCCAAGTGCATTGTAACACCCCGCCTTATCGTGAAATCAGAGTGCGTAATTTCGCAAAATCTATTAAGAATAAAATCTTTTAATTTGCAAAAACTGATTCGGGGTGCTACCGTAAAACTTGAATTATTCTGAGAAACCGTTATTTTAAATTTTTAGCAAAATCTACGGTTTACTGAAAGCATTAATTATCTGAAAGTCTGATCAAAAGATAAGTTCGTCAAAACATCAAAATCAGCGGAAACGTAGCATCATCAATATATATACAATCACATGCACAAAAGTCCTGAACCATCCGTCATCTCACACCCCCGGCCCGACAACCTGACCTGAAAAACATGACAAAAGTGGGTCGTGAGCACTATAACACTGTGCTCCGTGGAAACTCATACTAAAGTA